GCCTGCCTGAACTCGCAGCTGCAGATGGTGCCTCTGCTCAGGCAGAGCAGGCAGTTGGACTGGCCAGGTGGATGAAAACCATCAGTCAGCAAAAGCTCCAAGGAACAGGCAGGAGTTGTTTTCCAATTCTTCCTGGAGCAGGTGGACTCGGGAACAGATGCCAGTCTGTGGCAGCATGGGTGACAGTTTTAGCAGTGAGCCTGCGCTATAAAAGAAGCCTTTGCACAAAACAACATTAGAAATACACGTATCTTTCCCTGTTCATTGATGTTACACATAGTGATAGGGGAACTGCTGCAGGGTCGTCTGCTTTTCCTCTCTCAGGAGTGCAGTTTTCGTGGCTTCCCTGTGCGTGTCTGTATGCCCATGCACACGTGCTGCATCAGAGGGGATACCACGGCTTGAGTGGAGCCGCTGGTGCCCTTGCTTATGGGGTGATGTAGGAGAAGGATTTAGCCTACTGTTTCCTCTCCTGGTTTTGGTGGTAGAGGCTGTTGGTTTCTGCTGTGGAAAGTCTTGCAGGTTACCAAATACTTCTGGGAGGTATTGTCTGGACCCCAGTTTACTTACCAAGACCAGAGTTTTCTTTAAAGTCAGATTCAAACTACTTCAGCTGGAAGAACGAAGGATGAATGTGAAAATTGCCCTATGATGTGCAAAGCAGTGTTTTGTTTAATAATATGCTTAAACGTAACTAATAAACCACCACCAAAGAAAGTGGTTAGAGTCTCTGATTGCCTCAAAGCAGGGCTTTAAAACTGTGTGAGAGAGACAGTGAGCAACACGGTAACTGTCCGGCAGAAGGCAGCCAGAGGTTAGCCTGGCTGGGCTTAGACTGATGCAGCTTGGCAAACACTATGTAGGCTTGCTTGGCAAACACTACGTAGGAGAGAGACAAAGCATCCAAAGGCAGCAGAGTCATTCCAGTGGGAGAAGGTTGTTTTTATTAAAAGAGGTAGTGGGGACTCTGCAGCAACCTTAACTTCTGTCCCAAGAAGCAAGGAAAGGCCACCTCGGTTTGGCTCTGATTGCTCCCTGGACAGCCCTGTTACACAGCAGGGACTCCACCACCACCAGCATCTCACCCAGAGAGGCTGGACGGACCCCTTCCCTAGCTCTCCCCTGCCCCCTCAAAAGAGCACAGTGGAGCATTGGTGGCCAGCATAGTACTGCATGCCTGTGAGAGGGGCCTTGCTCATAATCACAAGCTTCTGTGTCTAACAGCCACAGCCACTTCTTAGCTGGCAGAGAGAGATGTTATCACTTATGCTGTTCCCACATCCTCTTTTCAGAGCCCTGTTCTATCTTGGTGCATGGGGGTATTTCCATCCTTGACTGGGCCTCAGTTGCAGAAATATTGCATATGATGAACGCTGTGCAGGGATTTTTACTGGTTGCTGTTGTGAGTAATTATTTCCTGGAAGACACTGAGGCTTCATCACGTGCGGAAACACCCTGCATGAACATGTGAAGTTGAGCTAATGAAGCACAGAGCGGACCTCAGTGCAGAACCAAACAGCCCCGAACCTTGCAGAAGTGAGTGGGGCTTTCAGGTGTTTGAGGTCCAGAAGCCTCTAGTGGGACAGCCAGGATGCACTGGGGAAGGGGCATTTCCAGAAGAAACCAGTGCACTGAGAGCAACAAGGTCTCAGCTCAAAGGGGAGGCCTCTGGCTATCTATGGGACTGGTGCTGAAGTGCTTTCACATTGGCTGCTATGCATATTTTTGTTAATTAACATAAGACAGTAGCCTCTAAATTTAAAGTAGCCTGGATTTAGGCATGAGGCTGAGCCTGTCTTCTGCTTGCCTTCCCAATGCCCAGCCCTACCAGCCTCCCTGGGTCTGCTGGCTTGCAGGGTGACCTACGTCGCTTGCTAGAAGACATCTGGCAGAAAAACATGGCTGGATCTTGGCAAATGCAAACACCTGCATCTTGCAAGGCCTTGGCCAAGGAGGGGTAAGAGAGGAAGGTGGAGTTATGCTGGACAGCAGCAGGCTACAGCTTCCTGACTGTCCTCCTCACTTCCAGGGAGGTGGTTAAGTTAATGCTTGGAATTACTGGGTAAAGGGCCTCCACCATTGTGCCAGCTATGGGAGTGCATTCTGTGAGAGCATCTTTAATCTGATGTTACACAACAGCTTGTTGGTGGGTATAGGCTCCATAGTCACCCTCTGGGAATTCTGGCTCCCCTAGCAGAAGGGAAGGGACCTCTGCCTTTCCATGGTTGCAAGTGGTGGATCTCAGAAAGCGTGTGTGGCTTTCTGGCCATGACAGCATGCAGGGGGCTGCCTGAAAGAGGGATGCAGTGAAATAAGCGGGTTGAGATGAGTTTGGACCTGACTTGGCTGCCTGCCTTGAAGGCCCATACCCCTGCAGTGAGCAGGATGAGCTTCAGCTTCAGAAGACGATGGGATCCAAAGCATCATCATTCAGCGGTGCATCCTGCACCTCTGTGAGGTAGACCATGGATTGTGCTGATTCTATACTTGGAAAAGAGGAGGGACACTAAGATGAGCCTCATCTGTCTTGTGGCAGAGAATGGCACTCTCTTTATAAACCTGGAGTAGATGGGAGAAGGGCAAGGTGTTCACGTGCTGAACTTTTCCTTCTTCCCTTGGTCTCCAGCCGAGTCCAGCTGAACTCTGGCTTTTCCAGTTCTGTCCCTGCATGTCCATGCAATGTTTGTGTATGTCTCTTGGGTAGTTCGATGCTGCTTCCATCTTCCCTGCTCTGCATTTTTGCATTTAAACTCAATCCAGAATTCCTCATTCAGCCAGTCTGGCCTCCTGCTGTACTTGCTCGACTTCTGGCACACCGGAGTGGATCGTTCTCATACTCGTTCTTCTCCATTGGTTAATCAGAAATTCAGGTGGCTGCTTCATATCTACCTCAGCTCACTTCTGCTTCTCCTCTAGGCTGAAAAAGCCTCATTCCTTCCACCACTCCTCACAGGTCATGTTCTCCAGGCCTCAAACATCTTCATGGCCCCCCTCTGAACTCAATCTAGTTTATCAACATTTTTCTTACACTGTGAGGCCTGAACCTAGACACAGTACTCCAGATGTGATCTAATGAGTGCTGAGTAAAGGGAACAATCACTTCCTTTAACCTACCAGGTGCACTTCTGTTAATAAAGCCCAGCATGTTCACCACAGCCAGGACACGCTGCAGACGTTCAGCCTATTGTCCACCAGGACCCCCATGTCCTTCTCAGAAGAGCCAGTCAGTCCCAGCCTGGGGCTTCTGATTCAGCCCCAATCAGGTGGTTTCCTTTACCTTATCTCCCTTTTTTCTCCCTCCCATGCCCACCTGTTGGGGTCTTTACTTGTAATGGTTCCGGGAAAGTAATAAGGCAAAGAGCGTGGGGAATTAATGCAGAATACAAAGAAAGGGGGAAATTCAGATGAGATGCAAACCATTTGCAAATGCTGGGAATGTGGGAGAAGGCATTTACCACTGTTGGAATGGGGCAAAAGCTTCTGGAAACTGAAAAACTGGATTTTCTAAGAGGGGCTTGTGAAGTCAATGATGGGAGGCGAAGGGTCTGAAAGAACCTTTTCTTGGTAAAATGAGGAGCAACCTAAAGAGAGTTTGGAAACTGTACATCTATGTGTTTGCACATTGAGTGGAAAAGAAAGTGTCATGAGTGGAACATAGCAATAGCCAGGGCGAGTTGGGGAAGAGCCCCATGTCTGCAGCACGCTCCGCTGGGTGGTTTGTGCTCACAGACCGGGCAGCAGAAAGCAGCAGCCTCCTCCTCTGGGCAAGTGTTTATTTCAGGGCCACCGTACCTGGTGGTGGTCACAGAGACAAAGCAGGTAGGATCCCCTTCTTCTGCATACCCAGAGCTGATGTAAGCAGCCACTTTAAGATAGCTCCATGCACAACGGCAGTGGCAGGAAAAGTGACACCTCCTTCTCCAGCCTGGGGTGTGTGGCAGCTTCTCCTGCAAGAAAACCAGAGCTTGGGGATGGCAGGACCATTAGCGGCCCCATATGATAGTTCTCATCAGTAAAGATGATCTCAAACTTGGGTTGATTTTGCAAATAACAAATTTGGCATCCCTCATTTTTTTTGCTTGACTTTCAGGAATGTTAGAAGGGAGCAGATTGGGGGTTCCTTTTGTGTGTGTAGGACAGTCACCTTCACCCTGCAAGTGTCTGTCCATATTCTGCCCTCCTGTGGAGAAAAGCGTTAGAGCGAGACCTGTTTTATGATCTAAGGGATGAATATTCCTCACTGCTTGAATTTGTGCCCTGAGCTGGGTGACAAAGTCCAACGAGACGCTGTGTGTCAGCGGGGACAACTGCCCCGGTACGGCAGGAACGAGTCCTGCGAAGAGCAGTCCTCTGGTGCGTCCAACAGCAAGATGTAAAATTCTGTCATTTGTTTAAAAACTCAAGATCTTCAATTTTTCAATTAAATTTATATTTTCAATTCAATTTATATTTTCAATTAAGTATTTTCAATTTTAAGAAATCAAATGGAATGGCCGTTGACAGCAGGAAACAGTCCTTTGGGTTGAACAGCAAATTCACCTCAGCTCGTTTTCAGAGGTAAGGATTTGTCCGGGCAAGAGAATCGCAGCCTCCTTCATTTCAACAAAATCGTTTAACCTGTTTCTTTTGTCTGTCAACCGTGGCCAAACCGTAAAGTCCTTCCCGCGCTGGGGGCGGGCGCCTGAGCGCCCCCCCAGGCCCGTCCTGGCTTTGGCCCCGTCTGTCCCATCCGATACTGAGCCCGAGGCTCCGTCGGGCCCTTCCCCGTGTCGCCGGGACCCCCCGTGTCGCCGGGATCCCCACAGGCCGGGGCCGCCGCGCAGGGTCGCGGCCTTCGCTCCCTCCGCCGGCGGCGGCACCGCCCGCCCGCCCCCCAGGGGCCGCCCTCCCGGCCCGCCTCTGTGGTCACGGCGCCAGATAGAGCGCCCTCGGCCCCGCGTGGGCGGCCCGGAAGAAGCGCTTTCCCAGCGTTCTGCGGGCTCTTCCCTCCTTCCGGTGCGGCGCCATCAGCGGAGCGGCAGGTGAGGGCCGGGGCCCCGCGATCCGCGGTCGGGGATCCGCGGCCATCCGCGGCGGGGCTGACCGCTCTCTCCCCGCAGGCATGGCGATCCGCTACCCCATGGCCGTTGGCCTCAACAAGGGCTACAAGGTGACGAAGAACGTGTCCAAGCCCAGGCAGTGCCGCCGCCGCGGGGTGAGTATGAGGCGAGCGAGGGCCGGGCCTGCCGGCACCGGCGCAGGTCCGCTGCCCCTCCGGAGCCCGCCGGCTGGCGGAGGTTGCGGGCAGGAGCCTGTTGCCGCTGGGGTCCGCGCCTCGTGTTGCGGTGGCGAGTCTGGCGTGGAACCGGGCGCCGCCGGAGGAGGGCCGCCGATCCGCCTCCGTCCCCGTTCCCCGGCGGTGGGAGGCAGGGCGGCTGAAAGGGATGAGCTGTGGTTCGCAGCAGCTCAGGACCGCGGTCAGGGAGAGGTGCAGTGCTGCAGCTCGGCTCCTTCTCCGGCTGCCGAGGAGAGACGGGAAGGTTCCGAACCCACACAGCGCCTGGTGATGGCGTGGCCGTGGTAGGCTTGTCACTGCGGGGCTGGGAGGGGTGGTGGGCCTGTGAAGGCTGCAGCCGGCAGTCTAAGACCTAACTGGAGGCCTAGACTGCCTCAGTGCAAGGTGGGTGTCTGCCTACAGCAGCAGTCGGTGTAGGAGTTGAGTGTGTCTTTTTGGTGGGTTGCAGAAGTATGTGCTTTGTGGGTCTTCTCCTTTCGTGGTCTCAGGGGTGCAGAGCCCTCTTCGGCCCTGAACTGCAGTGACTGGGAGCAACAGAAAGCCTGCAGGAAACAGTGCTTTAAGGGTTTAGAAAGCTGGTGATGTTACACATGGAGCAGGGGATTAAATCATGGAGAGTATTGAATCTGGAAGGTGGGTGTGGAGTGAAAGAGCTAGTTACAGGAGAATTGGCAGTAGAGCAGTCTGTAATGGAAGAATAAGATAGATGCATTTCAACCACAGCTTAAATTGAATTAGCAGTTTGTTGTGGTTTAACCCCAGCTGGCAACTAAGCACCACACAGCCCTCCCTCACTCCC